TAATTACCAGAAAACCGCTTCCATGTTCATGGCGAGAAATTTTGGACATGGATTGGATTATGCTTGAATATCCATATAGTCTTTCAAAACATGGTTTGGAGTCTTTGGAGACTCTGCTAAAATCATTGTTCTATCTTTTTCTTCGCGTTTATACAGTTTTCTGCACGGTGCACGGTCAATGAACACGTTGTATTTCAGTATAATGAGCGAATCATCCAATAGCAACGTCTCAGTTCAGTCATTCAATCATGCTATTTAAAAAATTAATAAACCGTTTACCTAAAACAAAGGATGTGCACCGTGTAAGGTACAACTCAATATAAACTCCAAGTTCATTATAACCGCTTTGAAGTTTACTGAGTTTCCAGACCTGCATGTCTCGAAAGACTATAGAATATCCCAATGTCAAATCAAGTATTATTAAGATACTAGTGGTGGCGTAACGTTCAACAAGGCATTGCTGCGTTGCAGATGGTCAGCACGCTGCAGGCTAGGAGAAGACGGGAAAGAGCTACCTATCTGTTTTTCTTCGTAGCGACGTTTTTTTTATCATGCATTGAAAAACTACTACGCATCAATTTCCTAAACAAGGAAATTCCCTTGCTTCTATTCTTGTGCATTATTAAACTTTACATATTCCGTTTATTTACATGCCGACACTACAGTTATTAAGGGACCGGTCATTATTTATGGTGGGAGGTGGCACCGAAGAGAAATGTTTTTTGCGGAAAAAATTGTGCTGACCCAACCATTAAAAAGTAAAAAAAAATTGATTACCAACTTAAGATATCGATTAAATATTAAATAAATGCCCACCCCTGGCCAAAAACGTACCGTACTAATGGTACTTACAAACGGATACCATTTAGTTGTCACACATGTCCTTTACCACTTCTGTGACATGAGTTTGATAACTGCTTGTGCAATTTTCTGCAGTCTAAATTTTCATGTTGTCTGCACATGTACTTTCTTTGGAGACACCATCTGTCTCCCAACATATCAGGAAAATGATCAAGACAGTGACTCTGATTGGTTCACATATTATATTGACATCTGACTGTTGACAGTGCTTTTTGGTCTCCAATATTTCATTGAGTCATGCTTTGGAAATGACAATAATTTTTTATTACCCAACCCTTGAGTTGTTTTCTTTTTTATTTACTCAACTTTTACTCACTCAAAATTTTACCCAACCCTTTTCTCTTCGGTGCCACCCCCCGCCATAAATAATGACCGGTTCCCAAAACGGTTCTTCCCTGAGATTATTAAATGTCCGGCAAGTCCGATCTCAGATAAGATGCATTGTATTTAACGTCTAATATCTTGAAAGCTTTTTTTTATGGCGGTTAGCATTCTGATGCCGGAGTTGCTCATGCTTAATATGTACCCTAAAGTTTCGATTCTTATCGAAAATGATAGTACGAATATCAGATTAAGAAGGGTCATCTTTTAAAAATTCGTAGAGAAGCGAAACTAGCAAGGAATTTTGCAAAGCAACTATTTTTAGCAATCTTGTTTGCGCCGTATGTTTCAGATATGAAAGATATTTATATCGTTATTTGACTTAGTTCTTCATAAAAGCGCAACAAATGATATTATGCATGCCATTAACAGTTCGATGTCTTACTCCTTTAAAATGTAAATTTACGAATACAAAGTTGTTGTATTCACGGAAGAGGAAAGCAGTCGGCGTGAAATTACACAGCTCAACTTTGCGCGAGTTATTTATCGCGGTTTCGCGATATGGAAATAAGTTATTAACCGCTTGAAATTTCTTTTGAATACATTCTTTAAAATAGTCATAAATCAAATTTAAATTTTTTATATGAACATAAAAACATATGGTTTTCAACGAGTTTCAGAAGTGATCTTTCACAAGCTACCATGGACGACAAGCTGCAATGTCATCGTTTTCCCTGACCTACAAATAGGACTATGAAGTAATTATAAAATGGTCTTTCAAAAAAATTCGATTCGGTTAAGCGGACAAACCGGTTTGTTTGCGCCTGTTGAAGTTAAAATTTCCCATCTTCCTATTGTTTAGGGCCGCGCGTCTTTGCATTTTAACGTTTATGACCGATCTTACGCTTCCTGAGCAACTAGTAATCTTTATGTAACATTTTATATAAAATAGAGCGCATGTAATAATCCATAACAGGCACTTTTATTTGAGAAAAGGAAACATATATTTCTGTTTTCTAAACAGTGGCCTGGTTCCGCTGCCGCAAATTTTTTTCCATGTACAGTCGGACTCCTCATTGATATTCGGACGGATCATTGGCCTGCGCTCTTAAATAAAACATTTAGAGGATGCTCTTCTTAATAGATGCGTTTCCCAGTGTGTCTTGCGCGCGCAATTTGCGACTTCAAAATATACGTATACTGTATTGCATGCTTGGCTGACTGATGTCAAAATTTGAGCAGGACACCTTGTTTCTTCATATCTTGTGTGGTGATGACATCGGACCTATTTTATTAAGTTATATACGCCATTCCCATGCACTTGCCTTTCTTTGTTTTGTAACTCTTTTTTGTAACTCTTTTGGAGCGATTACAGAATACTTGTCATTTTTAAGCTATTCCTTTCAAATATCATGGATATGATGCATTAATACATCTATATTTATAATTAATAATACGTAGACTGATAGATTAAAGTCCCATGATGGTAAAAATAGTACGAGGCATAAGCATTATGGTCATAGTGTTAAAGGTAGCTCTATATTTTAGTGAATACGCGGATACGTGAATACACTGTGAAGTAGTTATTTTGAGAACGAGGCATACAGTTAGATGATTAACTTTAATAGCTCAAATTCTAATGCTAAAGTCAGAGAGCTCTATATTCTAGTGGATACGCGAATAGGTTCATACGTGGTCGAGTCGTTACTTTGAAAACAAGGCATACAGTTAGTTAGCATTAATAGATCAAATTGTCATGCTATAGATTGCTAGCGCTCTATATTTTAGTGCAGTGGATACGCGGATACGCAGTCAACTAGTCATTGTGGCCCGTGCTTTATAAAACTTATCCTTAGGATGTTTTCAGGCATGATTCTGGCGTATTTAAAGAAATCGTCTGACAATCGTTTCTGCAATGCACATGCAGTGAATAGTATAAAAATTACACCTTATAGGTGTACATTTATTTGCCGTATAGGCAAAAAATTGCGGTCGTTGCCGCAATGATCCACGACATTTTGTTCTTTCTCTACGACAATTGCCGCGATATAATTGAAGCCCTTTTTGCCTTTTTTATAATTCAAGCCCGTATTCTGCAATACCACTGATTCTCTTCAATTGTGATGATATATAGTTTTAACTCGCAATAACAGTTCTTGAGTGTTAACCAGAGGAACAAGTTTGTAGATTTGCTATGGCATCGCGAAGCAAACCGTCCATCTTTCCACATGTGGTGAAGAAAAACAATGTGGAGTGATGGATAAATGGTGTACCAGTGGGGGTACGAAGGGATGTATAGGATAAACACCGAGAAGGAGGGACTTATGGAAGATAATGACCCGAGGACATGCAGCATCCGAGGGCACCGACTTTCGAGGTGTTTATCAAGTTCAATACATGGTTGAGAAGATTTTCCAACAAAGTTTTATCTGATTCGCTTGTTTTGAACGACGATTTTCTGAGTTTTCCTTCATCTTTTCAGCTAATTAATACTCAAGGTGATTATTAAAAATAATCTCCTCGGTACATCAAAGAAAACCTATTTAATCATGAATTAACAATCGATAACGCGCAGAGGCCTGGACGCGGATCAACGATGCGTCCGACCATCAATGAGGAGCCGGACCGACTGTCTACGGCAAAAAATTTGCTCCGTTACCCTTGTTTTTGAAGCACTTAATTTAAGGCACTATCAAGGAACTCTCAACTGAGATTAAATTTTCCCAAGCCATGAAAAAATTTTTAAAGCGAAGCGTTTGTTATTTTGTGGGGGACACAAAATAATAATGTACAGGGTGTCCCAAAAAAAACCCCAAACTATTAAAATAACATATTTTAATTTCTTAATAAGTCAATGTTTAATATATGGACCTTTATTACGCATCTTTGCGTCCAGCTTGGTACTAGGGCATTCAAATTCTGAGAATACGTTATTTCAACAGTTTTGGTTTATTTGGGACACGTACCCTTTACAGTCCCATTGTGAGGAAGTTGTCGCTATGTACAAATTCTAGGATTAAAATACGTACGCGGTTCTCACAATTATTCAAATTCTTCGCAAGCTCTTTGCGATTATTTTAATAAATTGTTTTTATATTTACCAGCAATGAAATGTATTGAAAACAAATATTTAGTGGATACGCAGCACGCATTCCACTAATTGCGTGTTAATTAAGTTAATCATGTATACATGTGCCACAAATTCGATAAACGAAACTTAATTAATTAATTAATTAATTAAGGAAATAAACCATTAAAGACCTCAAAATATTGAACTAACTTTTACAATATAGTCTTTTCTACATAGGCGTACGGGCACATTATTTTTGGGGGGGCTGGGCTGAATTTTCCCGAATGACATGACGTCATAGATTTCGTGACGTCATAAAATTATATAATCTAAGAAGACTGCAAATGAAAGGCTTTCCTTTGAAGTCTTTGAAGATTGATATAAAAAGAAATATGTCGTCCCTAGCCATTTCAATTATAAGCTAAATATATGGCATTACGATTCACAAAGAAAGAGAAAGTTACTAACGTAATAGTATACATAAAAGTATTACTCGATTGTGATTGGTTGATTTCAGTGTAGTTAATCCCAAACAGCAGTGCAAAAATCTGTAATCACAGTGCAATTTTCTGTAATCACAGTGCAATTTTCTGTAATCACAGTGCAATTTTCTGTAATCACAGTGCAATTTTCTGTAATCACGGTGCAATTTTCTGTAATCACAGTGCAATTTTCTGTTATCACTATGAACCAATCAAAATTGAGCTACGTTTTGGCGGCAAAATGTTCTTTTTTTTTCAAAACAAACATGGCCGCATTTAGCGGTGGGGAACGATTCCCGCACTTGGAAGTGAGTTCAATTGAAGAACTGCGAAATAATGCAAAAAGTACAAATACCAAGAGAAGCACAATCTTTTGGCTTGGCGTTTTTAAATCATGGGCAAAGGAGCGAGGTTTTTCTGAGGCCATTGAAACGTACGAGGCGTTCGACTTAGATAAAATTTTGGAGAAATTTTACGGTGAAGTGAGGAACAAGGATGGCGGTGAATACGAACAGAAAATGTTAAACAACAACAATTTCAACAACTGCCAAGTAACTTTCTCAGTTGGTTCAACGATGACTTCGCCAATTTTGCCTCAGCATACTTCGAACCCGAAGCGACGTCGCGCTTACATGATTGAAAGTGACTCTGATTGACTGTTTTGTTTTATATACTGTTATGCGCTTTTGTTTTATATATTGTTATACATAGTTATGCGCTTAAAAATTACCCGGACACGAACAAGTAAGTGCTTTGTACAAACAATTTGTTTTGTTTTGTTTTGCCTAGTTTATGCATGCATTTTGATTTTTGACGTGTAGCTAATATATTTGTTCTTTGTTTATTAATAAATGTCAAGTTCAAATTTGATTGTCTCGAATACTTTTATGCATATTATTAACAAGTAATAGCATGGTTTCTCGTGCAATTTGGATAAACATGCACTCGTGAGTTTTTCCAAGACCTCAAATAGCACTCGTCCTTCGGACTCGTGCTATTTTGAGGTCTTTGAAAAACTCACTCGTGCATGTTATATCCAAATTGCACTCGAAACCATGCTATTACCTATACTAACAACATTTTTTGGTATAAAATGGGTAATTGGACAAGTACTGGTGCAAGACATTGTGTAGCCTAAATAATGAGAGGACCAGTATTCCAAAAATTGTTGTTCTTAATTTATTAACTCCGACTCCTGTGATGAACATGTACGTAAAAACCTAGGGAAATTACGATTATATAGAAACTAAAAAACTGGTGGAAATTTTATGGGACACGGTAAAAGGCGAGGATAAGGAGCGAGAGATCAAAGTTGCGGAGGAAGGAAACCCTGTCCTCGTTTCGACCTAAAGATGGTGTAACATTTTACTGTCCGTCACCGTATTCTGTTCACTATTTTCTCTGAGCTGTACACAGTGAATTCAATTTATCAACATATCAGTGAACGTTGTCAATGGTTCCGTTTGGTTTTCGCTCATGGGTTCCTTCACATTTTTCTCAGATAGATCTTCATCAAAAGACATCGTGATTGCAGAATCTTAACTACCACTCGATTCAGTTCCAAGTAGGGTTAGGTCATATTGCAGGTCCTTGGTTGTCGTGTGACTTTTTACAAAGAAAGTATTGATTTTCGACTGGGATGAATCCGATGATTCCATCACTGGATGACATTTTACTTTTTTACCATTGTGAAATGTGAACCAATCGAGAATGCACCTCTTTATAATCACTGATCGATTTCCTTATTGCATTCCTCGCACCGAACGTCGTAAAATCAACAATTTTTTAATGATTGTAAGAAAATCGCGCACTTTTATGTCTATCTAAAAGTCTAAAATTAGTCACATTTATAGGTCATTGTATAATGTATAGTATCTATTTTCGGTGACTGGTGTGTCATAGCCGCGGTGCGCGCCGCTCAGGGCCAGAACCAAAGGATAAACATTACTGATCCGATTGTTACTACGCACATGCACTTATACCACACCTTCGCAATATGTGCAGCTATATACTATATACTTATTTAGTTTAATAGTTGTATAGCCTACATTATGCTAGGTAAAACTGCTGAATATAGGCATAAATACAGTAGTGACATTTTATTAGTAGCCATAGCAATTGTCCCTTCGTTCTAGCCGTTTCTGTGGGGATTTATGTCTGTGGTATGTGCGCAAAAATCAAAACCAAATCCGATTTTAGAGCACTTGACCTTTAATAAATGTTAAACTGACGCAACATGCTTGAATCCAGCTATGCGGTCTATGGTAGTAATAAATATACACAAACGTTGCCATTACAGATTTACAGTGCATGATTGAACCTGTAAAAGTTGAACTTGTTGAAATAATTCTTCTGTTCCGCTTTATCGATCAATATATTCGTCTAACCACCGGACCGTCGTTGCCCGAATAACAAGACAATTTTTGCCCGAATATAGATAAATTCTCCCCCCCAGCCCCACCCTCCCGTACGCCTATGCTTTTCTATGTATATATGTATGTATTTATTTATTTATTTATGTCTTTGTTGTCCAAGTTTTTCCTAGAACATGCACAGTCATTCTAAATCTCAAAAACGACAAAATAAAAAGCGAATCCTTTTAAAAATCCAAATATGACCAAAACAATTTTTCCTAGAACATTTTTGAGCAATTGAATAATGCCAAATAGACTGAGCAGTTTTTAAAATACCTGACTATTAGTGGTTTAATAGCCTACACCTAATAAGTTACAACTATAGGGCTAACTCTGGCTGATTTGGCTATAGTTTTGCGTCGCTTTTGCGATAGACAATGCTGCGAGTACAACAAAAACGTGCAAAGGCTTTAAACTTTACACGATGATCAAAAGAAGTATAATGCGCATATACAGGTCATTATGGACCAATTTAGTTGCTCTCGCTTCAGTTAAAAAGTTTAGTGTACAATTTTACTTGAGGCAAAATGCTAATCAAACCGTTACTACAATATAATATAGCTTATTCGGCTTAAACTAAAGATAATATGAAGCACAGACTACACCAATTGGTGCCTCTCGAATTGCGATTGTGTTGTTAGAAACACAGCCTATTTTTTATGGGGAGGCCTGGGGGCGGTGGATTCAGGGGAGGGGGGCAGGTTACCTGAAGTTGCGTTACGCCACTGCCCATATAATGCAAAATGACATGCCCAACATACACCTCCTTTACATATTTTCGAAACTGATATTAAACTCTCATTTATTTTTTGCAGTTTTGATTTTGTAGAAAGAATATTATAACAATCTCGTGTCGCTATGGCTAACATGACGCCAGCAACACAAGCCTGCGTGTAGTGTTGGCGTAATTATTATTATTATTATTATTATTATTAAATTTGGTCTTAACATCATCCCCCCATCAACTAAGTTTTTACAATGCCAGGTAACAATTCGGAATGCTTTAAAATCATCTCCTAATGAATCAATAATCCACCTCTGGAAATCAACAACTAATCATACTAATATTCAATACGACCAATACAGTTCGACGAAGGAAGTGATTAAGTCATTTCGTGATGATCAAGTAGATAAATTAACAAGCCAACTAACATACCAAGGCTCATTCTTTACCAGTGTATCAAGATTTTCCCTAACCCAATTAAATACGATCTGGCCAGCCTGTCAGTCCAAATTACCTAAAAACATTTTCAACTTTACCATTCGGTATATAAACAATTCGCTGCCAACCCGTAGGAACCTTCAAAGATGGGGGCTATCCTCGTCTTCTGAATGCTCGTTCTGCATTAATCCTGAATCTCTATTGCACGTCGTCGCTGGTTGCAGTTCCTACCTCGATCGATTTACTTGGAGACATGACTCAATTCTAAATTTCATTGCTAATAACCTTCCATCAGAACATATCCAGACCATTTATGCTGATTTGTCGTCATTCTCTAATCCTTCTACAATCACTGGTGATGATTATCGGTCTGATTTACTAATTTTGACGAAAGACAATTGTCTGTATATTCTGGAATTAACCGTTGGATATGAGACTAACCTCAGAAATAATGTTAACAGGAAATACTCCAAGTATAAAGATATGATTATGGAACAAAAGAAAAATTATCATGCGGTAAACTTCATCAACCTTTCGATTAGTGCACTTGGTGTGTTTGACAAAGAATCGTCTGGTTTTATAGACATGTTAGAACATTTTAATTTAGATAAAGCTCATGTAAGATACGTTATTAAAAAGATTATTAATATTGCAATAAGGTCAACCTACTACATTTTTTGTTGTCGAAATAAGAACTGGGTGAATCCGGACTTGATGAAACTTTAAAATTTTTATTGTATAAGTATGTATATAGAGTAATAGAGTAAATTTAATCGTGCGTTATAAAATCATTTAATAGTAATATATCAAGTTGCCAATTGTAAATTACCTTATATAGTGAGATTTGCAGTTGTAAGCTTAGAAAATTAAATAAAGTTATTATTATTATTATTATTATTATTATTATTATTATTATTATTATTATTATTATTATTATTATTATTATTATTATTATTATTATTATTATTATTATTATTATTATTATTATTATTATTATTATTATTATTATTATTACTAATCCACAAGAAAGGCAACAATAATGATCCTTCAAATTTCCGCCCCATAACACTCGAATCCATACCTTTAAAAGTATTTACATCTTGT